GAGAGCTCTGTGGCCCCTGCTCTGCCTGAATATGGGAGGAGCAGCAGCCCCGCCCTGGAGACGCTGAAAGCCCTTGGGTCTGCGCCTGCCCCCACCACGAGAGAGCCGTCCCCTGAAGCCATGAGCTTGATGCTGGGCTGTCTGGGGAGTAAAGCTTCCGGCCTCGCCTCGAGCTCAGTGCCTGCAGAGTAAGAGAAGGGTGGGCGTTCTATAACTTTCTGGAAGGGAGGAAGGAGGGCAGTCTGACTGGCTCCCTGCTCGTTTAGTTGTTTGTGGTTAGGAAAGTTGCCTGTGGGCTGATGAGGAACCTTGTTGTGGCCCTGCCGTGGGGCACCATGCCCAGCTCCTCCCGCCTCCAGAGATGAGCACCCTCTGAAGAGCCCGGAGGGGCTGACGCCAGCCCGCTGTGTCTGCCTCCTCTCCACAGGAGTCATTTCCTGTTTTTCCCTTGAGTTAGCTTGAGTGACCTGGTTCTTGACACAGGTGTGTTTCTGATGGAAACACCACCGGCTTGTACTCCTTGCCCCCCATGCCAGGCAGGCTTTCCTGGGTGCAGGCCGTCCACCCTGCACTGTGGCATCTTCTGGCCCCTCCTCCTCCTCAGCACCCACCCACGCTGGCTTCCCTGAGAAGCCAGAAGCCGCCGGGCAGGATTCCTTAGGCCTGAATGGTCCGGGGGGGAGGGCCGGGAGCCGCAGCACAGCAGCCACTTTCCACCACACCATGTCTTTCTCAACCGTCCACACTGGCCCCTACAACTGCATTTGTATCTCAGCCTCTCTCGGAGACAGAAAAAAGAGGAGGGTGCCAAAAGGACACAAAAAGTGGCAAAACGGTCATGCTTTTAAAAAATTATTTTAACAGCTTCATTGAAATATAATTCACATACCACAAAATCCACCCATTTAAAGGGCCTAATTGAACAGTTTTGAGTATATTCACAGGGTTGTGCAACGTTCTTACGATCTAATTGTAGAACATTTTTGTCCCCCTACAAAGAAACCCGGACCTCCTAAGTCTCTCCCGCGTCCTTGTAGCCTCACCAACAGCAGTCAACTCACCAGCACATGCACTTACCACGCAGGGTCTTCACGCCTGGCCTCTGCCACCCAGCGTTGTCCCCAAGGCCCACCCGCTTCATAGCGTGCGTCAGCGCCTCACTCCTTTGTGTGGCTGAGGAATATTCTATCACCTGCATCTTGTTACTCACTTACTGGGGGGTGGACATTTGGGTGGTTTCCGCCTTTTGACCATTACCGACGCTGCAGTAGAACGGGTGCATTTGTGAGTCGTTTCTCTCCGTATATGCCTGGAGTGAGGCGGCTGGGCCCTATGGAAACTGCTTCACTTTTGAGGACCCACCCACCTTTTCCCCAGCACTGCAGCCTTTCACAGCCCCACCAGCCGCGTGCGGGGCCACAATCCCACACGCCTCTCCGACTTATGTTTGTCTGTGAGTCTAGCCATGCTGGTGGGGTGCAGTGGGAGCTCACTGTGGTTTTGGTTTGTGTTTTCCTGGTGACCACTTGTAATGAGAAAAACCGAGAATCACATTTAAAACCTTACCCCAAAGTAGGAGTTGCTGAGAGACCAAAGAACGACTGGGCGGAGTCCAGCTTGGTGAGTTTATCAGAACTCACATATGGGGCACTCGTGGGCAGCAGGACAGCAGTAGAGATGGGCGTGCTTCCTTCCCTAAGCTGCGTTTGAGCTAATTTCCTGCCTCTGCGCCCGTCTGTGTGATGGGCCTGCTCTCTGCGGTGGTTCTCACATCCCCTCTGGGGTGTTTGGGTTTTCGGGGATACCTGCTCCTCGCTGGGCTCCGTGGCCTGGACTCACCGCCTGGCCTTTGGGGTTCAGGCCACGGACATCCGCCCTGAAGTAAGCTGGCGGGGACTGTCACTCCACAGCGGTGATGCTGGGTGGCTGCGTTTTATTCATCCGCACATTTAGACACCAGCGCTTCCAGGTGTGGTCACTGGGCTGGGCCCTGGGGATGCTGGGGTAACCCAGACACAGCCCTGCTCCCCCCACAGCGCTGCACAGGGGCATAGACACCGCAACAAGACCGGTAACCCTAAAACACTGTCCGGGGAGAGGAGGTCACAAGGTGACTCATGAGCCACAACTCAGGTGTGAAAGAGGCCAGGGAAGGCCGGGCGTGGTGGCCCAGGCCTGCGGTCCCAGCGCTTTGGGAGGCCGAGGCGGAAGGATCACTTGAGCCCAGGAATTCGAGACCAGCCTGGGCAACATAGTAAGATCCGGTCTTTACAAAAAATAAAAAAGATTAGCCGGACCCGGTGGCGCGCGCCCGTGGTCCCAG